CTAACGGCCATATATTCGTGGGTTTCAGTCACGTGACTTTTTCGTTGCGGCCGCCATCTTTAGGACCTTGCGTAGCCTCTCCTTGGTAATCGGAAACCAAAATAACACTTAACCAACAACGGGAAAATAATGGTATTTAAAAAAAAAAAAAGGGATTAGATCCTTATTTACTGTCAAGCGAACTGCTGACTCCACTAAAGTCTAGTGAAAACTTACCAACTTGACGTTTGCTGATAGGCTGTTTACATCTACCTCATACACAATCCCTCTCCGTACACTCGGGCCATTTTCAGTTAAAATTTCACCTGCTAGAGACTTGTCCATCGGCCCGGATCCATCTGCACTTTCAGATTCTGGGCCGAATCAACCGGACCAGATGCGACAATATATATATATATATATAGACAAACTAAATCAGTTGTGTAATATCACATTAAAATACCAGTTTATACTTCAGAGATTTAACTTTACTTCAGTGCTTTATGGTGGGGTAAGGTAAAATGCTGGCTCAATTTACCCCTCATCATTTGGCTCACTTTGCCCCATAGCTGCCATTTTGGAAAAACCTAGCTTGCTTACCATTTCAGGCTAATATTTAGCTAAATGATTTGCATGGTATTATATGTTGATAAATCACCTATATGCATCATAAATATTTCTTAGACCTGGATAAATTTACTTTGATGTAACAGCCATTACATCTGTTATGCTAAAATTTTATTTTGACAAGTAAATGGGTGCCTTCCACTCCTCCCGTGAGTTTCTTCTTTTCACAGTCTGGCAGAAATTATGAGTGGTTCCAAAATATTTGGTCACATGACTGTAAAAGTGTATACAGTTGGCAAGATACAAGGGGTGGGTCAATTTCCCCAACTCTCCCTATAACATTAACTACTAGGCATGTCCAGATGTCAGACAAAAACTCTGGTGTTTATTATAAAAACTCATCTATGCTTACGAGAAATATTTAATCAAAAGAATCCAATACACCCACATCTCTTGGTAAATAATCCATTGTGATTTGCTGTTATCACAGCCCAGAGCACAGCACAGCAGATTGACGGAATTGCAATTCGGTCCTACAAATGGCGGCCGCACCACTGTGTGACGTCACATGAAACCTATGAATACCCAGTTGCAATTATTTTAAAAAGTAATGACTAGTAAATCTAGGAATTCGTAAAAAGTTAATAGTTTTGCAGCACTGCAACAGCTATTTTCCATAATTTAATATAGAAACACAGTAGGGGAAAGTGGGGTAAAGATGAGCCTTTTTTTTTTTTTTTTTTTTTTTTTTTTTTGGCTCACTTTGCCCCATAGCTGCCATTTGGGGAAAAAACTAGCTTGCTTACTAATTCAGGCTAATATTTAGCTAAATGATTTACATGGTTTTATACATTGCTAAATCACTTATATGCATCATAAATATTTTTAGACCTGGATAAATTTACTTTGATGTAACAGCCATTACATCTGTTATGCTAAAATTTTATTTTGACAAGTAAATGGGTGCCTTCCACTCCTCCCGTGAGTTTCTTCTTTTCACAGTCTGGCAGAAATTATGAGTGGTTCCAAAATATTTGGTCACATGACTGTAAAAGTGTATACAGTTGGCAAGATACAAGGGGTGGGTCAATTTCCCCAACTCTCCCTATAACATTAACTACTAGGCATGTCCAGATGTCAGACAAAAACTCTGGTG